TCCTAAAGTAAACTTTTAAATTCCAATTACTTAGAAAATTGGACTTGAAAATCTGGCCTCTATTTCACTAGAATGATCAATATTTTGGGGACTCCAAAATATTGGAAATCAACAGTTTTCTAACATATGTCTCAGTCCAGTAATAATTTTGACTTAGACCTTTGATATTTTTCTCGACATTGCCAGAGAATATTATTAAAAATGTTTTAGTACAGTTATTTTATTCTTTGTGAGTATTATATGTTTAATTCAAAGATGTAAAATGCAAAGTAAAATATTAATAACAAATGGGATGATCCTTCCCAGACTTAAAGATTAATTATGCATCTTCACATCTCCTGAAGGATGGATAAAAAATCATCGCATTAAAAACCCATTTTATAAATCATGAATTTTATGGCAAGAGACAATCTTTTCTAAAGGAAGTGAGGTTGAAATTCTGAGATGATTAACCATAATTAAATACTTTTTCCATTTGTCTTTTAGATATGTCTACTATTCTAAACAAGAAGCAAAATTTGAGAAGAACTGGGTTAATGCTGTGGAATATATAGGCGCTGCCCGCATTCCTACAACTTTCATTAGAGTATATGAGTCCCAGAAGGGCCTGCCACCACGAATTCTTAGTAAAATGGACACAGCCTCTGGAATCAGTGACTTTACTGCCCTACAGAACACAGTCCTGTCAGGTCTAAGTGTTCTTGGCACAGTGAGTAAACTTACAGGTGAGAATTTTAAAAGAATACTTGACAAAAATCAAGACCATGTTGAACAAACATTGGTGAACTAATTAAATCAGAAGTATAGATATCATGATATATACTCTAAAAAGAAATTTATGATTTCTTATGGTTATCTCTTATATTTAATTAGGAATAATCACTCTTGATATATGACCATCGAGAACCATGTTTTTCTTTGCCCTCATGGACTGTCCTTCCATCTGCAGTCCATATTGTAACATGGAGTGTGCATATCAACTAAAGCACACTTTTGTTCAGTACACCCACATATACTCCTTATTGTGCTCATCAGAACTTTTCTTATTCTAAACTGAGTACTTTGATCTTAAATTTAAAGAATATAAGAGAATTTCAAAAGCAAAACTACCACAATTAATGAAATTACTAGCAATTTGACTTTTCTGAGTTTCTTTGATCCAATATTTGTTAGTCATGAAACACGTTCTTCTGCATTACTTCAAATGCTAAGATCCCTAGTAGAGTGAAAAGCAGAAGAACTGTACAATTACAAGTTTGGAAATTACTATTGCATCCCTATTATCCATCCATATACCTAGCCACTGACCCAAATTAAAAGCATAATGATACTATTAGTGTTTTTCAAAGCAAAAAGTTTGAATCTGAAAGCAAATAAATAATAAATCAAACAAAACATGAATAGTTTACTTATGTGTTTTTTAAAAACCCAAATGCATTACTTGGAGGAACAAAACATCCAGACACTAGGGACATAATACAATTCAAGTTTCTTCTTAGAAACTTCCTCTGGAATCAGGGCTCTAGTGAGACATTGTCAGTCAGCAGGTAGCTTTCCATCACATAGAAAGTAGTGAGCCAGATCTCTTTCCACCTATGGAAATCTTTCTTGGAGCTTTATCCCAGAAAATGAGTAAATTCCACTCATTTTGTTTAATAGATATGAAGCATTTCATTTGAATGTACCACAACTATGAGTATTAGTTTTTATTTTAAGTTATTGCCAAAATAACAATGGCATTCTACATATAATTTTCTTGTATAATTTATGATTTCATCACTAATTTCATAGAAAGAATGAAATAAAATTGGTAGGCCAGATATGCCAAATAATATTACCTATAATGCAATGTTGAAATTCTATGTTTATTGTGCAACTGAATATATTACTACTAATTGGTAAAAAGAAAATGAAATAAATTTGATTGATCATATATTTCCAAATGGAGCTAGAAAAAGATTTCAGAGTTTGTACATAATGATTTTATTATTCTTCCAGGTTCATTTTCTTTGACTGCATGGAAAATTTTAATGAACACACAAGATTCAAGGAAGCTAGTTTTAGAGGTTTTTGACAAAATTTTTACAATATCTAATTAAAAACTTCCCCAAATATTCAATGAATTAAATGTCAACCACTAAACCACTATAGTTTTTTGACAAACTTTTTACAATATCTAATTAAAAACTTGCCCAAATAGTTAATGAATTAAAAGTCAACCACTATAGCTTTTTGACAATCAGTAATTTCAAAAAAATAAATATGATCATGATCATGTAGTCTTGCCATTTATGGTGATTTTGATTTATGTTCACTTGTTAAGAATTCGTCCATGCATTACTACCATTAAATTCAAATTGATACTTTGATTATTTTGCTGAAGAAATAATTATCAATTTTTTAAATTCACCAATTCTTAAATTTTGAGATCTAAGGAGATTGCATGAAGCTACCAAAATCATCATTATTTAATGAATAAAAATCTATTAAACTTCTGTGGCTCTTTTGGCATTATTCAATGTCCCATTTTTTCATATTTTTATGAAACTTAGAGGCAAGTAGTTTGTTGATTTATAAAATAAATTTCAGAAAATTTTGAAATAAAATACTGAAAGTTAAATGTATAAAATTCATAAAACTGAACTGGCGAAGAGTACACTGATTCATCAGTTTTTTTTTTTTCCTGTGAATTTATCAAGTTTACTTGATAGAGTTTCCCTCTTTCACCCACAGTTGATAATGAATACTTCAAGGTTAAGTTTGTCAGGAAAGAATGCACTGGCCAGGAAATCATGATTTCTAGGATCGACATGAACCATTTATAAAGGCTTTTGTAAGGCTTTCATTCACAGACTAAATCTACCCACCAAATATTGAAAAGTGAAATTGGAAAAGTTGGTTTGAATAGCATGGATTGCAATAGGAAAGAATAGCTCACGGTAGCTCTGTCATTTGCTGGCTGAATGAGCTTGGGAAGCTTTTCTAGTGCTCTCTTGCTTCAGCTTTCTTATCTTTTATAATGATGAACATTAAAACTACTTTGCAATACTATTTTGAGGAGTCAATAAAAACATGAATATAAAGTTACTAGTATACTTCTCAACAAGTGGGATAGGGGCACAAAGAGCAGAGATTATCACAATAATCGAGCTGAGAGATGGATGTATATTATATTAGGAGGGATAGTAAAGCACCTGTGATGATCAGGAACCAGAAATGCATTTTTGTTGAATCCAAAAACATACATGGATTTCTTGAAGATATAGACAATGGATGCAGTTATAGAAAACAATCCCAAATCTTCTTTAAAAAGGCAAAATGATGTCAATCAGTTCAACCCTTCAGTAGGCAAAGTTGTAATGGCCTAACAAAACTAGGCATGCGATTTCCCTTTGAACTAGTTGTCACACATGTAGTATCTTTTTGGAAGATATGCCTCTACTATTAACAAAATAGAAACATGCAAGTTTATGTGTTGTGCCATTATCTGTAATTGCAAAATCTAACTAACATTGGTACCCAAAATAGAAGAATGTTAAAAAATGATTGCTATCCATCTAGGAAAGAGTGATGAAGATAGCTATGAACTGTTGTAGTATGATTTGCAGGACATGTTTTTAAGGGAAAAAAAAAGAGCATTTCAGTACATAAGAAGAGAACATCACTCTAATCAAGACTGATGTACTTTGACATTAACAACCTCTTAGTGGCACACTGAGAAAGACACCCAACTTTTCTGTAATATTCTTGTCAAAACCTGTCCTTTAGGTATTCTTTAAATACCTGGTATGAAATATCAGTTCATCCCTATCTCTCTTTGAGTTTTTTTTTTTGAATCTCTGGCTCTCTGAAAGCTGGCTGTCAGATAAGCAATTGCATTTGCTTTCTATCACTGTCCCCGCCAAAATAATCTATCATAATATTACTTTGTAAGTTCACATGTCTAGAAGAAGATAGTGTATATAACTGACATACCCATGTTAAAAATCTACATTTATTAGATTTTGTTTGTCTGAAAGTAAACAATGGAATTTTTCAACTTTATCAATTTTCTAATTGTTAGAAATCTAATCTAATTACTTAGGGGTCATTGTTTTGCAGATCAAGGGTGGATAAATGTCCAGTAGGAATTTATACACTGGAAGACACCCAGTTTTTTCTTTCACTGGCTTTTTCTGAGGAATTGATTGTGTGACAACCTCATTTAATGAAGAAAATACTGGTAAAATTGACAGAGTGACTGTCGCTGAACATTTGATATATTAAATTATATATAATTGTAAAAAAGCATTTAAGAACAAATATGAGGAAAAATTTAAATGGCATATATTCTGATATATTATCTTCTGTGCAACTAATAAAAATAAGAGGACAGCAAACTAAAATGAGGATATTCAAAAATCCTTATCAATCATCACATAATAAGGATTTAAGTGGTATCATTAAAATCTGTCAAATGAAATATTAGAATGTTAATTTAGAAAGAGGATTACCAAAGGCATTAAAAAGACATTTTTACAAATGTAAACACTAGAACACAATGAAAATATTTTAAATCCAAAAGACAATCAGATGAAAAAGGAGGAAGGAGGGAGGGAGATAGAGAAGAAGGGATAGAAAGATTATAAGAGAAAAAAGGTGCCAAATGTTAAGAAAAAGACATACATGCATATTGAGGAACATTAAGGGACATAACATGAAGGGAGAAGAGCTTTTCAAATGAATCACGGAGCCAAGCCCAGTTTTTGGATGCACATCAAAGAAACACCTAAACCCCACCAGGTTATCTCAAAGATGACTCAACCATGGAATGACTGGCTGGATTTTTTTTTTCTTTTGAGCCAGTAACTACCAGAAACACCTCCTTTTCCTTTTCTGAAAGAAGATTATATGTTACTTAATCTAGATGGCTATGATATTTAATATATTCATGGCACTTCGTGGATTTCTTTGTGTTCGTACGTAAATGTTTGTACTTAAATGTTTGTACATAGCACCTATTAGTGTGCCAGAAACTGTGCTTTATACTGTTTTCTAAGGACATAGTCATTTGTTTCTTGCTCATAGGTGAGGTAGATATATTTGAAAACAAATTTATCCAGGTAAGTGATATCAATGATAATACCTGAAAGTATAAAAATCCATTTTCATAGGAGTGAGACTCATAGACAAATGAAAATCCATCCTAACATAGATGTTTGTAATAAATGAAAGAAAAAGTGTTTGACCTAAATCGAGGGCAGGAAATAGCTCTTCTGAAGGGCAACTAACTTCTGTAAATGCATGGATATATGAAAGATCACAATGTAGTCCAAGAAGGGTTTTCGTTTTCTTAAATACATGTCCAGAAAATGTTTTAAAGATGACTGCTGTGGAAAAATTGAAATTAAACAGATAAATGCAGGTTGAGTTCTACCAAAATGCTAGACAAAGAGGATATGAGAGGTCTTCAGTCACATCTACCTTGAAATAAACTTTTGACCTTGTGAAGCAGCACATTTTCCCAGCACATATTGAAACCCCAGCAGGCAAAACGTGCTACATATACATCTTGTTGTGCATATACTGACTGCTGTAGTTTCATTTATGGCAGAACATTCCAATCTTACAGAGTCTCCAGGGTCATCTCACCTTTAACTCCCTTTCTTTCCAAGAAATTCTCTCTTTTTGTTTTGTGCTCCTCCCTCCTCATTTCAGAAAAGAGTTATGTATTCTTTGAGTTACTCAGATCCTTTCCTACATGGCATCTTGCTACTGTCCCTATACCAATTGGAATTCTCCACAAAGAATGGGGGTAATAACCCTCCTTTCCAGGTGTGGTCTTTTGCCTTTAAAGTTTGAAATCTGTTAGACCCTGGAGCACACAGTCAATCTGTTTGAATCTGTGTGTCCCCATTGCAACTCTGATTATCCCAAAAGAAACTTTTTGTTTCTTAACCAATTTGTGTCTTGGTCAACCTTGTTAAGATGTATTGTTGGTCAGATCATGAAACCTGATATACAGCCTAATAAGGAAAAGGAAAAATGTTTGAGAGTTTTAATGATGGGGTGATATGACAAACACATAAAAATATTGTTTCATTTATGTTGTAGTGCAGCAATCTTTTTTTTTTTTAATTTTTTTAAGCTCAGGGCCAAATCTAGGTAGGCATCAACTTGCTTTCACAAGTTTTCTGGAATACACCGTACTCATTCTTTAATATGTTTGTTGTTCTATTGCCCTACAAGAGCAGAGTAGAGTAGTCATGATAGAGAATTAATGTCCCAAAGAACATAAAATATTTACCATTAGGTCCTATTAAGGAAATGTTGACTGATAACCTAGTGTAAGTAAATAAGACTACAAGAATATCTAGAATCTTTTTCTTTTCTAGGAAGAAAAAATAAATGTATTATCCAATTAGTTATTAAAGCTAACTATATAGCCACATTCTTTGGGATTTATATTTTGTCCCTGGTGAGTGGAGCTCTCTCTTTCTGCTCCCTGGCTATCAAGTCCTGAGCTGCTATCCCCCACCATGATGTTTTGCCTCACCTGAGGCCCAGACTATGGAGTGAGATGATGATGGAGTGAAACTCTGAGACCTTGATCCAATTTTTACAACATATTTTAAACACTATTTCTTATAGTGTTATTAACCACCATTTCTGATGCGAAATAGAACAATTCTTATTGTATTAAAGCTGTTAGTAGAAAACACTTATGTTACTTTGTAATAATGCACTCAAATTGATCCTATTTATTGCACTTACGTGCCATTGTATTATATATTTTAATACACACAAAGGTAGAGATAATCTCATGAATAGTATTGTATGGTTTAGATGTTTCCCCAAAAAGCTCATGTGTGAGACAATGCAAGAAGGTTTGAAGAGATATGATTGGGTTATAACCTTAATCTAATTAGTGAATTAATCCTTTATGGGATTAATTGAGTGGTAACGGGAGGCAGGTGGGGTGTGGGTAGAAGAAGTGGTTCACTGGGGCCATGGCTGTGCAGTATATATTTTGTATCTGGCAAGTGGAGTCTCTCTCTTTGCTTCCTGATCACCATATGAGCTGCTTCCCTCTACCACACACTCAGCCATGATGTTCAGTCTCAATTTGAGCCCTGAGGAATGGAGCCTGCTGTCTGTGGATTAAGACCTCTTAAATTGTGAGCCCCTACATAAACTTTTCTACAGTTGTTCTGGTTGGGTCTTTCAGTTACAGCAGCGAAAAAGCTGACTAAAACAAGTATGGTAGCAGAAATAAGAGTCCCTCAAAATGTCTGTGTCTGAATTTACAAAAAAGTTGAATATATTAACTTATATGGCAAAAGGGACAATGAAGATGCAATTAGATTAAGATTTTATAATGGAAGATTATCCTGGATAATCTGTGTTGACCCCTTATAATCATGATGATACTTTAAAGCTAAAAAAGGAAGCAAGAGGGTCAGAATGAGAAGGACTTGAAGATGCTTTTGAAGATGAAGAAAGGTACAATGAGTCCAATAATGAATATGGCCTGCCCCAAAGACCATGTTTTGATACTTTCAAAAGCAAGGGAATTGATTCTTTTCTGGAGAATCTAGAAAGAATTCAGCTCTGTAAATTTCTTGATTTTTCTCCCATGAACCCATTTCAGACTTGTTATCTCCAGAACTGTAATATAATAAACATGTTGTTTTAAGCCTCTAAGTGGGTGGTCATTTGTTATAGCAGCAATAGGAAACTGATACAAACTGTTAAAACTTCTTAGCAAATTAAGAAGGTTTCTACGATAATGAAGTTGCTGTAGTTCAAAATGGATATAGTTCCTGGTTTTGAATTCCTGGAGTTTTATGCTCTAGTAATAATTCTTTTTTTTGACTCAAAAGAATTATCATATTTGTATCTTGTTCATCAAATGGACATATTTTTGCAACAATTAATATATTGCATAGTATACTGAATGCTCATTTCCTTCTGGTATTGAGCTAATAATTTTTTATAAGAAAAAAATTTGTGGACTTTCTTTTTGGTAATTTTCATTTTTGCAATATGTTTATTAAAGTATAGGGAAACTTACTGAGTTGAATAGTTTTGACTAGCTGATACCAGCTGAAGAATGAGAAAACTTAAATTGAGGTTTCTCTGACCTTAATGCCCATTTTTTTTCCTTAAAGGGGAGAATATTTGCTCTCCATGACTTGAAGCAAACATAAAAATTATGTACTGTGTTATGGTTTAGATGTGTCACTCAGAAGCCCATGTATGAGACAATGCAAGAAAGGTCAGATCTGAAATAAATGATTGAGTTATGAGAATCCTAATCTAATTGGTGCATTAATCCCCTGATAGGGATTAAGTGATTAACTGTAGGCAGGTAGGGTGTGACTTGAGAAGGTGGATCACTTTGGGCATGTCTTAGAGGTACATATCTTCTGCTGTGAGTGGAGAGCTCTCCGCTTCCTGGTGTGAAGTCCTGAGCTGTTTTCCTTTGCCGCACCCTTCCTCCAAAATGTTTTACCACACCTTGGGCTCAGAACAAAACCAGTCATCTATGGAGTGAGACCTCTGAAATCATGAACCCCAAAATAAACTTGTCCCTTTCCTCTAAAACTGTTCTTGTCAGGTCTTTTGATTATAGTTGCAAAAAAGCTGACTAAAACTTACTGAAACCCAGAGATATTTGTAACAAATTTTCAAACTTTGAGTTAACTGACCTTTGAAAATATCCATACTAGGAAGTATATTTTAAACTAAGTTCATTTTTAGAAATTTAAATTCATCAGCCAAAACTTTTACTTAAATCTTCTGACTTTTAACCATAAAATCTCTTATTTTAAATTTTATGAAATTGATTTAGGCAGAATAACAGCCAAAAGCTCAAATACTTTTTATAGCCTTTATTAATATATCACAGCTGAATCTACACTGAACAGTAAATATTCTAGTTATTATGATGTTAGTTCAACAATTTTATTAATTGGACAAATGAACAGTAACATCAATGCAGATTTAAAATATAGGCATATAAAAACAAAATTATGTATATATGCAAAACCAAAGTTTTGAAAGTACTGTTCCTCAAGAAAGTCATATTGTGGGTTTTTATTTCATCACAGATTTCCAGAAGCATTAATTTAAAAAGTGAACAATAAATTCCAAAATCTCTAGAAAAAGTTTCCTTGCAACTTTTAACTCCATTAAAGTTTTCCATACAATGAGAGACAATGTTCCTAGAAAAATAATAAAGATATATTAAAAGTTATAGACAAATTTTAATTTTGTTACCAAACATTAAAATTATTTAAAACAAAGTCCAATTATCAAATCAGCAAATGCTTATGTGCATGCTTTAACCAAGCATGTATTATTTGCTATTTAAAATTGTATATTATACTTTCATGCTCAAATTCATGAACTACATATACAACTAAAGAGAATAATGGATGGTAAACACAGTGATGATTATATAAATAAAACTTATAAAAAGTTAATTGCCATTTCTCACATATCAGAGTATTGCAAATTAAAAGTGTGTTAATACATGCACGTTTGGTGTTCATGTAGAAACATGAGACAATAATAATAATTCATTCAAGTTGTTTTGCTTTCATTTTTGGCAATAATATAATCTTTTTTTTTAAAAAAGAGAGAGAGAATTTTTTAATATTTATTTTTTAGTTTTCGGTGGACACACATCTTTATTTTATTTTATGTGGTGCTGAGAATCGAACCCATCGCCCCGCGCAGGCTAGGTGAGCGCGCTACCACTTGAGCCACATCCCCAGCCCAAGAATATGATCTTTCATGCAGTCTTTAGTTTCTATTTGGCAACATGTAATGCATGGATTAATTTCTAGCATTTTACTCTGTCATTAATTCAAAAGTTAATCTAATAAAAGTATACAGTTAATGTCACTTTTGCATTGCCTAAGTCTTAGAAAAAATATAAATCCATAAATGGAAATCTATGTATTACATAGTGAAAATGATGTATGTTAATGTTACTGACTTTGAATGAGAAAGGTACAGCACAGAGCAATTCTGTACATATATTCTATTTTATGCAAATGGTCAAGTTTTTATTGAAGATTTATTCTCTTATTTACATTCACCAAATGCATATAATCTTTATTTGTAGGAGCAAACCCTACACACACATGCAAAAAATGTTCCTAAAAAATCAGTTGGAAATAAATTTAGGGAGGTTAGAAGGTGATGATGATGGAGAAGTTATTATTTGTGTTTAATAACTGTACATAGCAGCTAAATTTTAAATAATAAACATTGATTGTATTTTAAAATAGTGAAATTATAATTATAAATATTAATTAACTGTTATTAAGTTATGGATAAAAAATATTTAGTAACCGTGTGAATTTTGAATGTAAAAAATATATTAGGGTAGGTAAATAAGTTAATGAGAAAAAAAGGAACTATGCAGAACTCTTGAGTCTACTACACTAGCAGTACAACAGTGCACCCATCCTTGTGAAGTGATCTGTAAACTTGCTCTTGGGTGGCTTTCCCTTTCTCTGGTTGAGGTAAATAAAGAATTTTTTTTTAGAAATGCCAAAATACTGGAGATTTAAAGTCTTAAGAATAGAAAGGCTTAAAATACAAGGATGTTCAGTCCAGTTTACACAGTAAAGTAAAACCTTAAAATTAGTTTGTTCAGTGTGTTTTTATTGACTAAACATGCTCAAATGTAAATATGTTTAAAATTTCACACTTTATTAATGTGTTCTCTTTATTTAAAAATTTATTTTCTATGCTTGACCTTAAAAAGATCTTCCAAAACCTTGGATACTGTGTTGGAATTATGTGTATTGCTAGGAACAAGCAATTACCAGAGGAGGATAGGAAGCAAGGTAGCTAGCTTAAGGACATTCAAATTTGACATTTTGTATTGTTTCATTATTGTATCTCTGATAGTTGAATAAAATCTCATCAATAAAAACCCAAAGCTAATTTGAGTAAAACTGGAGCCTACAGAAAACTAAAAATCTATTGCATACATTCTTTAAATATAATAATTCTAATTATTCATGATCCTTCATTCTTTATATACTAGGAAATTAGCATTTGTTTATAACATCTGAACCTAGAATGTGCTTTCTGTTTCTGACAATGTGGTGAAGATGGCTGGCAGAACAACAAATTCTGTGATTCTCCTCACGGAGAGGTTGATGCAGGAGTCAAACTTTCCCAAGTCCTTCCATTCCTAGCTAATAGGATTCTGCGACTATTTATGACAAAGGTAGATGAGATAAAGTTAGGGCTTTCACTTCCAGTCCTGATTCTTTAAAAGAGGGACTCTGTTATTTAGGTTCTTTAGTTCCTTTTACTTTGCTGAGGGCTTACAATGGAGATGTTGTAAAGATAGATGGAGGCACAGATGGAAGAACTATTGGTCCATGAATCATCATGGAGGAAAGTCTCTGTCAACTGAATAAACATCCTAACTCTGTGTGAGCCAGAAATAGAATCTTATGAGTTGTGACATTAAAATTTGAAGGTTTATTTATTAAAATAGCAAATGTTACCCTAAGTAATGCATATGCTTTTTACATTTAATATACAATGTATTCATTTTAACTTTTATTCATATTTGGATTTTATGTTAGGGAATAGAAGCTGTATATATACACACACCTATATAGTACATTTGTTTTTTTCTCCATACAACAAGAACAAATGGTATTTAGGGAATGAAATGACACAATAATTTTTCAAGTATACTATTATAAACTTTCTTCTTTATTTTCTACTAATAGCCTAGGATTTGGAAATTTTGGAAATATATACCTTTTCCATAAGAGGAATTTTGGGCATCAGAGTTTTTCTTTATGTCTATAATAATAGAACTGGGTGAGATAATTCTGTTAAATAAACAGAATTAATTTAACAGAATTAATTTTGTTGTTCCTTTAGACATGGCAAGTATCATTGTTATTTTTGTTATGTTTTCATTTAGAAAAGTGTATGAAGTATATGAAAGTGAAAAAATAAATCTTATCCAAGAATGTAAGTGCTTATTAAGTAAAGCCTGTCACCAGTTCACAAGGATTGCTATTAAAACTGAAATTGATTCTTATTGGAAGTCAACATTTCCTTTAGAAAATTATGATTTTTAATGCTATTTCATCATTCATAAAAGCAACACGACATTATAATTTGAAAAATATAGAGCCTATATATCTCTTACCTGAGTATTTGTGCATTATATGGAGGAATTTTAGACCAAGTAGGACCTTGTTCTGTAAGTCAGTAAAGTCACTGATGAAATGAGCTGGATCCCCACTAACAAGTGTCCGTGGTGGCAGGCCTTTCTGGAATTCACACACTCTATCCAAAGTTGTAGGAAAGAGTGATGGAGCCAAGTAATCCACTAATAAAGCCCAGTTGCTTTGAAAATCTGCTTCTTGTTTAGAATAATATTTTGACCTAATAGAGAGTTGGAATTTACATTTAAAATTAGTCTACTCAGAATTTTGCCAACTAAATTTTCAAAATAGGTGTTTATTCTACCATTAAGAATATAGATATTCAGACTGGGTATGTAGCTCAGTGGCAGAGTGCTTTCCTAGCTTGCCTAAGGTCCTGAGTATGATCACCAGCAACAGACACCCATACACAACATGAGGGAGAGAGGGAGAGATGGAGGGAGAGATGGAGGGAGGGAGGGAGGATTGTATGAAGTTGGCGTTGATTTTAAAACCCACATTTGAAAATGTGAAAAGGTATTATTCAAATTTTAAATGAGGAAATTACTATTTCAGAAAATCTCTAGTTTTTAGTCCAATATTTTGCCCAGAAGGGCAAAATCAAGAGAATGTTATAATTGCAAGCACACTCAAAGGTGACCAAATTTCATTATTATAAAATGTAAAAATAAAGCCAAAGGCAAATTTTCTCTTGGGCTTGGATATGTTAGGTGACCCTGAAAATGAAATTAGAGATTTTTTCCTTGCAGCTTTTATTTATTTATTTTTTTGTAAAGGCAGATGGTGCTTTTTCCTAGTGAAGTGTGTTAGAAAGCTACTTTTAAGTTCATAGTAAATACTATTACATCTATACAGTCTATTTCACATATTCCAGTCAATCCCCTGATCATGTGAACGACATGTCTCTTCTCTCTAAAATACTTTACACTCATTGTCTTGCTCATGATTCCCTATCTCCTTCAAAACGTATGGAAATTACATGGCTTTTAAATTTCCTGTAGCATTTTTTCTGAGTAATACAAAAATGAAGACTAAGTGTTATGAATTCAGAAAGCAGTTAGAACATATCATCTGGTCAATACCGGGAAAAATGCACTTATATATATGTGTGTTATATGACAGTATAAAGGATTAAATATTTAGTCCCTCCCATGGTTAATGAACAATTGATTGGAACTCCGTACTTTTATCAAAACATCAAGACTGGAATAGAAGATGATAGAGAGGATCTAGGCAACAACACTCAATCCCTTCACAACCCAGCAAGGAAGCAGTGAAAAGAACAGCTGGTCAGAGAGGTTCCAAGCAGATAGCCACTAAATTCTATGCCACTTTAAAGAAGACCCTGTGGAGGGAAGCAAGTTCACAGCATTTCTGAAAGATCAGAAAGCAGGAGAGAGAGAGAGAGAGAGAGAGAGAGAGAGAGAGAGAGAGAGAGAGAGAG